CCCACCCTCCAGCATGCGAGCACTGAAGGTCAGCCTGTTGGAGGCAGCGGACTCCAGGAATCTTCATTCTAGGAACATAGTGAGCCAGTCCAGGAATTAATCTCTCCTGTGCTCGACAAGCTATTGGCAACGCCCCCCCCCCCCCCCCCCCCAAGGCTGTAGCCGGCACATACATCCACAGACCTCCTTTCTGAGCTCCCACCAGGTGACTGTGACAGCCGCCCCTTCCCCCCCAACCAAAACGCATCTCAGTCCATCTCCCTCCAGGCAAGGTCCAGTCAAACCTGATCTGGGCAACCCAGACCTGCTTGTGCAGAAAAGTGCTGTGTGGGGATTCGCTTTTTCACTGTGCTCTCGCGAGCTCACCTGACACCTCGCCCAACGTCATCATAAACCGGCTCTGCTTGCTAGACACGAGGGTCACATCCACAGCAGAGAGCTGTGTGTGTGTGTGTGTGTGTGTGTGTGTGTGTTTGCAGCAGCACAGGGCACAAGGCTGGGGTGCCGCCTGGATATAGGATGTATATCTGACATACATACATGCTTATTGATTAACCTATAAGCTGATTTTTTTCACCAAATGTCTGCAGCGTTTTTGTACTTTCCAGCACAATTTGAATACATACAAAAAAAGAAAATATGAGAATTGTTTCTCCTGCCTGCCCTGCTGCCGCATAACGGTTCATCTTGTTGTCGGAAGCAGCACCAGCACCTGCCTGCCCTCTACATTTAGACTTGAATCTTAAAATTTGCACTGTCTAAATTAGGATTTTGCCACCTTGTTTATTTGACTTCCTCTGCGGGCCCCTGGAGGATGGGCTCCCACTTTGAGTCTGGTTCCTCCCAAGGTTTCTTCCTTCTATGGAGTTTTTCCTTGCCAGTGTCGTCTTTGGCTTGCTCACTGGGGGCTTTGGGCAGGCATAATGTAAGGTGCTTTGAGGCAATGTAATGTTGTGAAAATGCACTATACAAATAAAACTGAATTGAATTGAATTGAATTGAATTGAATTGAATTGAATTGAAACGAAGCGAAGTGAAGTGTAACATACTAAAAGGAGAGCCCAAGTGTTGGGTTGCCGATGATCTAATTTGCATAAAATTGGGGCTGATGCAGGGGCTCCTGCCCCCCTTCTTTTCCTATAGCCATACGCTGACATCAAGCTAATGGCCACCTGGAGAGCAGCTGGAGCAGAAGTCATTCTTATACTCAATAACCAGCCCCCCCCCCCCCCAATTCACCAGAACCCAGTGACCTCTCTTTCCATTACAGCATCAGACAAAGGGTGACAGGGGGCTCTGGAATGAGGGGCCTTCCCAGTCTGTGACACTCTGAACCACTCTGCATTTCTCAGAAATCGGCCCAGTGAACTGAAAACATGCACACACACACACACACACACACACTGGCGGACACACATCAAACACACACACGGCACCATGGAGACGCGGCTCCACATGAAGACGTGGGTGGGATGTTAAGTATCCACTTCAAAGAGGGCAGCATCTAGAAATGCTTTAACAATTAAAGTCTACATGTAAGCACTTCACACAAGGTCTACATTTGATTGGGGGAGGGGAGTTTTTTGCATGTTTGTGACAAATTCTCTTAAACATGTAATGTCGAGCAAACTTTGGATGTGTACAACTCGAGAATCCGCTGTTGAGGAAAAGGAGTAACTGTTTTTTTTGTTTCCACTTAAATTGCTGATGGTATGACTAAACAGTTCATATTAAAAACCAGTGTGTGAAATACGGAGGGTCCGACACACCCGATTAACCCATGAGACCCCCTGAAAGCCTCAAAAGCAAAATTTCAAGGGGGTCTCAAGATCAGTTTTGTGCAACAATAGGGAGATGGGGAACCCCCCCCCCCTCTCTCCTGAATATTGACGGGTGTTTCGCACACTGTTTAAAACCCTTATCAAACCACCTCTGTTAAATATTTTAACACGAGTAATACTTTAAGCAAACTGCAGATATTGAGTGAAAAGAAAAAAAAAATTGATTGTAATGTCGCTCTAAAACAAACTAACCCCCCCTCAATCATTTCAACCAAAAATACTTCAAAACTATGTAACAAAGATACCTTTTGATCTTTTAAAATTGTTTCATTGCTATAGACTGTTGACTGTTGTATGTTAGCTCATAAAATCATATCAATATGTATTATTTACGTTAAAATATATACTTGCCTATATACACAGGAAAAGCTGTAGAGGTGGAAAGTTCAGATTCAGAAAGGAAAAATCCAGACCAAGATTTTGTTTCAACCAACCAGTTGTGTATAAAGAGTCACAGTCACAGAGTACCCAACTTTAGTTAGTTTGTTTTAGAGCGACATTTAAACATCTTTTATTACAATCAATTTTTTTCTTTTCATTCAATAGCTGCAGTTTGCAAACAAAACTGTAATCCATATGATAGCTTTATGTTTATATCTGGATATTCTGTGTTTTTATAAAATAGATCAAGAGATTAGTGTTGGGAAACTTGAGATAGAAGGGGATGCATTAAAAGAACAGACAACTAAACAGGTCGAGCTTTAAATTTAAGGAGGCATCTTAACCTCTACACTGCCAACCCCCCCCCCTGCAGTTTTCCAGCATCTGGTCCAAAACCAAAATGGAAACGGCCTCCATTGATTAACCAGCAGTGAAAGCAACCTCATACGCTGCATGGACAATTAATGCAGAAAAAAAAACAGTTCTGGGAATAACACACACGGAACGCTATAACGTCAGGGGATGGATTTAAAAAGTCGGCCGTTTTCATTGAGAAAAGCACGACCTTCGTGCTGAAGACCGGGGGTGTCTCTCTCTCCCCCGGTTACCACATTAAACAGCTGAATAGGGCTGTGCTGGCGGTGAATCAGCAGCGTGTTTGTGTATGCGAGCGACCCGGGATGCGTGCAGACCCGGTGCGCTTCTGCGTATCAGCCTTTGTTTGTTCTTCTTAGAAACGCATAAAAAGGCCCGTCTGATTGCCTCTCACTGGCCTTCCTCCCCCGCCTCCGTCCCTCTCGGCCCCGTGCTTTTGTTGCAGACCATATGCATTGTTTTGAGTTCCGCACATAAAATGGAAAAAAAAAACCTCCCTTTTCCTAGAAATGCAGAACCCTCTGCTGGATCTGGGTATCTTGGGGCCAGGGAGCGATTAAAGTCTGTTAAGTGACAGCAAAGCATCTCAGCTATGTGCCAAAGCCCCGTAGACCTGAACACACGCCCAGGGCCTCGCCGTCCTGTCCGTCCTACTTCTCAACAATCCATTATTATGGTAATTATTTTACCGTATATCTCTCTAGCTGTTCTTCAAAACCCTTCTCAGTCCAGGCGTGTGTGTGTGTGTGTGTGTGTGTGTACATACAGTACTGTGCAAAAGTCTTAGGCAGGCAAAGAAAATGATGTTTAGATTATCCTCGTGTTGGGGTAAAACTATGATATTACTCCTGTGAAAGTGTGTCAGCTTAGCCATTTCAGAACCTCTGCTAAAATCACCCCAGTATTTGCAGCGACCATCCAGTGCAGCCATGTATTTTTTGACTTGGCCACTAGCACCTCATACAGCTAGTCAATCTGTCACTGACTTTTTAAACCAATTTATTTAATTATTTAATTGATCTGTTGGTGAAATTTAACAAAGTCATGGAACGGCTGAGGTGCCCCTGAGGAGAGGTTTGGGAACTGAAGCCGTGTTCATCTAGCCATTCAACTAGATATCAGTAACTTTTTAGAAAACAGAAGAAATTCGTTTTTATTGTGTTTCCCTTAATTTGCATATTTTCTAATGTTAAATCGTGTTTTTTGTTCTAAGCCAAAGTACACTTGTTACCCAGATAAACAGCTTTAAACATTTCTTTGGACTGCCTAAGACTTTTGCACACACACACACACACACACACACACATATATAACTATATCTCAATGTTGGCAAACTTTGACAACAAATCATTTATCTATCCTTCCATTGCTACAAGATGAGTCTTTTTGTCACACATACATTGAGATTTGTAAATGAAAAGCACGCCTGACAGAAAATATCCTTTAAGTCCAGAGCATAATCAGAAATTGGAAAGTATGCAAACAAGATTTTACTACATTTGAGGTGTCAGAGCTACGGTGGCTGGATTGGGACAAAATGATAATAACAATATGTGGTACCTCTTTACAATAAGGCTCCCTTTTGGCTTGTAAATGGTAGTAACTCGTTAATAAAAATAAAACTATGTTATAACTTGTTTAAAGTTGTGTATTAATAATTTACAAAGTGTTACAACCTAATTAATTACCAGATTATAAACCATTCATAAACTCTTTATATGGGCAGTCTTATTGTAAAGTGGCACCCAATAATGTTAATAATAATAATCTATCTCGTGATCTATATGTATGTATGTATAAGTACCATGGAGAATCAAAGCCTGAATCCTCACCCTTCCCTGGGAAGGATGTCAGTCCTGTTACAGTAAGATGGAAAAATGTTTATTATTTGGTAAATATATATCAAATTGTAAACATTGTGATAAAAGTGAACTTTGTCCTCAGTGTAACCTTTGCCTTTCAATGGCATCTTAATCAGTTAACAAATATTCTGTATGATCACATGTTTTATTATGTTGAATTATCTTTATGTTTTTTAGGGATGACTTTAAAATATAACCACATGAAGTTTGCAAAAGTGTTAGTCAAGCATAAGCATTTGCCTGGGCTCTGCAATTTTTCTCTTAGTAATAATGTTTTTCCACAAACACCAATGTTTTGGCTACAGTAATTGAATCTGTACTGTAGACATGCAAGCTTTTATTGAGCAAAAGTATTACTTTGAAAAATCCAAATTTGAATATGGGCCATTGTAAAATTAAACACATAATAAATTTTCCCTTTAGCACCCAAAATAACCTAGATGAATAAATAAAAACACAAGTCAATCCATTTGTACAGAACGCTTTAATTTTAGTTTTGCTCACTGATCATAATGAACCAGGGTTGCAAAGAAAACATGATATGTAAAAAACACAATATGCATGTTAGTATAATCATACAAAAGGAAACCTGTATATGGCTGTAAACCAGGTTCTTAAATATAACCAAATGACTAAGGAGGGGGTAAAGATTTCTCAAGACTTTTAACATGTAACTTACCTTTGGTTTGACAAGTGATCACGAGGTGGACAGTGGTAACTGTTAGCTACAGAAGTGTTTGTACAAATGTACACAGCTTCATGTTTGAGGGAAAAAATCAACCTTTTGGCTAATTCTAAGAAACACCCACACAGTACAACTTAATTTCTTTTTTAGAATCACAAATTATAATGAATTGAACTGTTACCTAGGTGACAGACATAGTCTCTAACACTTGATGTTTTATGTTTTATGAGCTTGGTTTTCAAATAGTACCATTTTTTCTCTTTGGAAATAAGTTTTATATTAAAGTAACTTATAGAAAGTGTTGGGAGGGTCATTCTCAAATATTAAAATGTCAAATTCCAAAGGTTTCTACACACTGTGAAATTTACCACAAAATTCCTGTGTTGGATTAACTGCTTTGAAAACACCCAGAATTCTGCAATTCCATGCGAAACCCCTCACTGCAGGAGCATTCACATAATTTTACTATGAATATTGTGTTACAGTCCTTTCAAAGAAATGCCACTGGTCAAACTGAAGAAGTACACAAAGGTGTCAAAGTAACACATTCCTGTTTTGTCTGAAAAGAAGTTTCTCTTGATCTGTAACTTCAATTGTTACGTGAAAAAGAAGTCTTGTAATCCCCTCCAGTTTGGAAGGTTTCATGTAACTGCATTTTACAATTAAAAACAAAACAAAGGACGCCACAAGCCTTCCTCTCCCGGCTAAGGCTTGTAGCATCCAGTGAGTCATCACAAGGCAGCAGTTGAAAAGTGCACTGAAAAGATTAGGTCCTCTTTGGGGGCAGGTGCGCTAGAGTGAAAACGGATAATCCTGCAAGTAACCCTTCAGTCGCTGGGGGAGAGGCAGGTCCTGGGGGCTGCATGAGTGGCGGTTGATGGTGATACGGCACAGGTGCTGCAGGCTGGGGGCCGTCCTGCAGAGGGGGCGGGTGAGACGGAGCTGCAGGCTGCCGTCCAGGCTCTCCTGGTCGGGCCATGTGTCGCCCCCTGCTGAGCTCTGGGACGCCACTGCATAGTGCAGCACCAGCTCCACCGCGCCGGAGAATCGGCGCAACCGGGGACGCGCTACGGCCAGAGAGTCAAAGCCGAAGGCGCCGGCCGAGTGTTCGATGCGCAGGTGCGTGGGGCCCAGGCTGGTCTTCACCGACAGCGTGAGCAGGTACCCTGGGTTGGAGCTGTCTCGAAGCAGGAAGGTGCCCTCCAGAGCTCCGCTCAAGACCTGCTTGGCCTGGGCGGCTGTGAGCGAGCCCCAGTACCAGCCTGGAGGGGGGCAGGGGGGCAGACAGAGACTCCAGTCAGAGATGGAGGGACAGGATGGAGATCACCACGGCCCTAATGAATGACACACAAACGACCGCAGAGAGCATTTCCTAACAAGGGGAAAAAAAACAACCAAAGTCCTCTTAACGAGATGACAGCAAATATAGAAAACTTATACTGGGAATCTCTAGGTTTCCAGGCCGTGTGCGATGTGGGGACTCAGGATGGAAAACAGGGCTGGACTAATGCGTTAAACAGTCACACGGCCTTTGGAAAAAATGTAAAAAGGGATTGTGTCACATTGTGAAACATGGTGAATTGGACGTATGTGCCAGCTGGAAACTCTGCCACGTATTTTTGTTTCTCTTCCCTACTATTTTTAACCTGCTTTTTTCCTTATTCCAGTTTGTCACGCAACATGAGTTTTTATGGGGGGTGGGGGGGGACGACATTCTTGCCGCAAGGTTTTAGGGTCTGCTAGCTATCTCACCATTCATCCTGCTGGTAATTTACACCTGGAACACCCACCCTTAGCACCCGGTAATGCCCTGTTAATACTCTAACAGGTACTATTAAACTATTACAGCACAGAGAAATGAGGAATGAAATCAGGCTGAGCCTGCAGCTCCCCCCCTCCCCACATAAACATAGTTTGTCCAATCAGGTTTTCTGTTTCTACTTTCCACCCACAGAAATAAAGCAATTAAAACTGCGTAAGACATAACGCGCGCGCGCGCACACACACACGTTTGTATTCATATCCCTCACACACACACGGATTTTTATTAAACTGAGTTTTTGTCAAATTGTGGAGACATTTGGTCCCCATAGTTTAACAGATACATGACCCACACACACAGGCGCGCACGAGCGCGCACACAAACACAAAATCACCAATACCCTGAATACGATGATTTCCATTACCAATGAAATCATTGTATTTTTCCATTATTTAATAAGAAACCACTGTAGTTTTTAGGTGTGAAAAGTGTGGAAAGAGAAAGATAGTGTCTAAGCTGTGAAAAGGGGACACATTTTAATACATTCTAAAATCTTTACTGCCGTGGGTCTCCAGAACCAGAGCTGCCGGCATGGTACTCCTTGACAGGAAACTGACCGGACTCCCGGAGATGCGCCATTGCTCTCTCGACGCGGCCAGCATCCTCTGTGGGATCTTCTGACGTCACGCCCCGGCCCAGGCTCTTAAAACGAACCGGGACGGCGGTCTTTTCCGTGGGGGCATCCGGCAAGATCATATGGTCCGTTTTGATGGGCGCTGCGGCGACGGGGACCGGTCCCTTTTCCCGGCGCTGTAGCGTCTGGATGTCAGCCTCTTGTGTTTTTGAAACACACTGCGTGTGACCCATTCAAAATCTGCCTCCCCACCCAAACAAACACAAAAATGTAACAAAAGTAAAGAATATGAGTTAGTCCAAAGCACATTGTGTCGGTGTCACGATTATATTAACACTAGAGAAAGACTAATTTAATAAGTAATATTTTAAAAATATTGCCTGTCTTTTGTCCATGCATATTAATATTTTATGTAACATATTAGAAACAAAAATATAACAAGCAAGATACTTCCAGTAAATTTAAAATGTAGCCTAGTGAAATGTTCCATTAAAAAGTTCCGTAAAATATACATTTCCAGATAAAGATAAAACCTGAATGCATATGAAAATGCGGGATTGTATGAAAACAATTTGTATTAAAAAGAGTCATTTGCACCCCCGCCCCCCACCACCACACACAAATGGCACAAGAAGAAGATAATCCAAGTAGGAAATGGTGGTAACAGCTAGCTGCCATTTATACAAACTAGAACTAGTGGAAGCTGGGCAATAAAACTCTGCAAATTACAGCGTATTAAACTGCTAAATTCGCGTATGCGCGAGGGTTAAGGACGTTTTCGATCATTCTGCCCAAAATTGCTTATGCCGATTAAAAGTTTAACCCAGTCAGGCTGCTTCACTCCATGTTGTTTGACTTTTAGTTTAAAAAGCAGAAATATCAGGATTATGGAGTGCGCTGTTGGGGCTTTTGGGGGGCTCTCGAGAATTTCATTTGATTTCTCTCACCTACGGCTAGGACTACCGGTGATTTTTTTAAATCCCCTATCCCCCCTCCCTCGAAGACCTCTAGAAGTCCTTAACGTATTTGAACCTCTCTCTCCAATGCCCGCTAGAACTCAGAAATTACAGTATGTGGGCTAACAATTTCAGGGAAATTAAGTGTTCCTCATTTCCTTAGAACTGGGCAAATATTTAAAAACGCTATTTTGCTTCATAATACGTAATCTAGACTTCTGGACTTGTTAACGCACTATGCAGACTCCATTATAAATGTTTAACGGCACCTATTAAACCAGATTAATATTCCACGACAAGCTGTCACAATGACTGAAAAAGACGGTAGTACTGACCAATACCCATACCTGACTACCTCTGCAAAAAGGGGGGTATCAAATGTAGATTGCTGTTGTAGTTAAACAAAATGTATTGAAATACTTACAGCAAAGTGTGTTTAGTACACCAAAAGAGACTATACTAAAAATATACACAACAAGCCTATAGCACAATCACGAAGATGTCCAATTTGTACTTAATTTGTACTTAATTGTCAAATTTGTCAGAATCGATCCTTAATAATAATGTGAAACGTTCTTCTGTAGTCTCGGTAATCTTACTGAAAAAGGACTATATACATTCAGACTCATTCGTAACTTTGGTGTTTATGTTAAAAGGGAGGGGTTTTAAAAACAAGATCAGTTAATCACTAATTAAACTATCTCAGCAGGACAAACAGTGCATATCAACGAAGAGTCCCAAATTCACCGTTAATGCAGACGATAACATTAATTTCAGAGAACGAATTCCATGAGCTTTTCCTGAACGCAGGGCGTTCGCGTAACTGGAACAAGCGATAATTTTAGTATTTTTATGGCTTTGATCGATTCATGGCGACCCGTCGCAACGAGCTTGCGTTTCCGCTAATATTACATTATTTTTAAAATCAGAATGTAGATCCTCTGGAAATCTCGCAATTATCCGCAATTAACTTATTTTGTTATATTATTTATCACAAGTATAAAAGTCTAATTGTCTATGCTTGCAGATCAGTAGTTACAGCCGATGCATTAAAATAAGAAACCCAACTTTCAACAAAAATAACTATCTCACCTCTTCCTCTTCACTCTAGTCAATGCTATGACCGGCGTGTCCAAGCACCGTGGGACGTCAAGTGTACTACAAAAATGGTTTGTTTCTTTTCTTTCTTCACATCCACAAAAACGACGCGAGTAATAAAAACCTAATTAAATAGGTGAGTGCTGGTGTAGTAATTAAGAGAGAAATTTGGGGAATATAACGGGTTAAAGCCGACAGGTTGACAAAGCCAGGCAGTGTTTTGCATGGAAAAAGAGTAAATATATGAGCGCTAAACTGTCAGTGTTCACGTAGCTGCGAAAGGCAAGTCAGGCTTTTTCGTCGCACTCTTCCCTTCCAGCGAAAGTGACTTGACTGCACGGGCTCCAAAGCGAGCCAGCCTTCTCTTTTAACTTCGTTTTTTCTTTTTATTTTTTTTAACAGACTTGAAGCAGACACCGAATAAGACGTAATATTTACTGATATTTTAATTTAGTTCCGTGCCTGTTGTCGGGCCCCTGTTGCTTGGCCTTCTGTGGACTCCTGTTTGCCCATGTATACTCCAACACACCTCTTTCCAGGAACATTCCCAGAAAGACGAATCACGTGATCCTGGCTTTGTTCTGGCGCACTTCCACCAATCAGTACCCTAGACGATGAGGTCATCAAGATTTTTTTTTTCTGGATCTCGATACAAAACAAAAACGGGGGGAAAAACCCTAACCATAACACAGATAACCATCCGGCAAATTCCTAAAAATATTACTGTAGCCACTTTACCAATATTATGAAAGACTCAAAATATTTGTTTGTACAGGATTGTGGTCATCAAGTTAGGATGAATTGTATGTTTTACAGCGTGTTAGTTTTGCGATGGGGGAATTGCTCTGTCATAGTCTTAGGTACGGTTTAACAGTGGTTTTAAGCGAGTTCGGCTGGACAGTTAATTTTAGTTTTTCACCCGCAGCAGCGTTTTAAGTTAAACCTGGTTGCTCTGCAAAAGGTTACGGGAGTTTTTGTTATTTAAACAAAATCTGCTTTAGACACTGAATTATTGATTTATACATTTCTTCATTGTACTTTATGTTATCTGAAATATATATTATTAACAGTTAATAGAAATACAACATTTTAGACATATACAAATTACGTTAACACATAAAACGGAATGTTAGTCTCCCCACAGTCCACTTCCATCTAGGCCAACAGCGATCAATAAAAAAGGTTAAGTACAGTGATGGACATTAATTCTGTGACCACCGTAATGATCCCTTTTATTAGTATACAGTTAGCCTACTTGCGGTGTCAAATAATGTCATCACAACAGTTCTATCAATATGTAGGCCTATATGCCTTTAAATTCCATATAATCCCCACCCACCAACTGTGCTTCTATGGAAATGAAGATGAATTAAATTTTCTTTTGATGACATGCACGTTACATTTTGTCAAAAACAAACGCAAGGCTGCAGTAAAGGTAAATTTATCACGTGTTTAAGCAACGACCATCATTCCTTAAATCACATCTGAACCGTGTGGAGATCAAGTTTAAGATAACCTGCAGAAAAATGACCTCTAGTGGCAGATGGGTGATTTTTTTTAAAAGGGGCACAGCAACCGGATTTAATTTAAAACGCAGCTGCGATTTAAAATGCATGTCAGAAGACATAGCAATGAACATTATGATGAAATCACTTAAGAAACTCTAAACTGCAGTTAAGCTAATGGCAGACCAATTGCCCTCCATTTCTCTTACATAAATTTTTTGCTGCAATGCTGGTTCCAAAGTACTGTTTACTACAACTACCAACATGCCTTCTGTGGTGTAGATCGTATATGTAAATGTGATTTTCACTCTGGCAGCATGTTGTGAATAAATCCGGAACTTTTAAATAAAGAGTCTGCTCTTTATTATTCAAATCATGCCTTGTACCAAACTTACTACACTGGTGTCAGGAGTGGTATTTCAGATTGTCAGTAAAATTGATGACCTGATCCACTAACAGAAAGAGATCCTGGGATCTGAGCATCGTGCCTTCCTGGGGCAATCAAACAGAACTGATCCTCTGCACTGTGAACACTGTGAAGCAAAGAGAGCTGCAGTTCCGTATGTAGATGCATCGCCAAGTTGCACAGCAAGGTGAAGACATCCGTTATGTTTGCCCACTACAGCGGACAAAAGTCCCTGGAGCCCTACCTTGTACAAGTGCATCTAGCAGCTTGGCACACTCCGTGGAGCAATGCAGAAACGGACCTCTGCACCTACCACTGGCACTGGAAGGGGAAGAGCTCCAAGCCCTGACCACTGATGACCAAGGGGACTGCGGTGCTCTGGTGGGGGTACTGGAGCTGCAATTCAGAAGAAACCATGAGGAGGAGGCTGGCACCTTGGTAGAGGTAAGACATTGTGACCCTGGTGGTGTTTGTGGTGGATGTCCGCCTCGATGCATGTAGGGGTTACCTGTGCTTCCCCAGTGCCATGCAAAATAAACTGGATCTCCATGCCTTTGCCAAGGCAGTGGCTGCACTAACAATATTCAGCTGAGGGTGTCAGCTACACTCGATAAATCCTGACCATAGTGGGGAGAGCAGAGGATATCCTGTCCCCACCCATAACATCACACAGATCGCCAACCACCCCACACTGCTTGCTATGTCCACCGACGAGCCCCTACCCCCATTTCGTCAAGTGGGCCAGTTGATCCAAGAGCGTGGCCTCTACCTGGACTGTATGGCAGGGGTGAGGACTCGAGTCATGGCTCACAACTCAACTTGGAGTCAAGTCACACAAATTTGATCAACTTGGCAAAACTGATGCAAAGACTTAGATTTGAGGGCAATAACTTGAGACTTGGACCATATGACTTGAGAAGAAGAGGTTATAGACCCCCCTCTGCATACCATAATGTAAATTTTTTATGTAATTTTTGTGTAAATTTACTCTCTGCTGTCTGCACTTTCAACTGGCTGAATGTAAGGTCTCCTGAGATAGTTTGTTGGAAAGATGCATCACTCCCTGCATATTTATGTATGTAAAAACTGTGTGAGGACAACCATGAGGACACTTTCTTTTCAACCTATCTCTGAAGAACCTATCCTATGATGTACTGTGGTGGGTTTTTGCTGCAGTAAGTTTTAATGGCTGAAGGTAAGAAAACTGACATAGGTAGGGAGTCAAAAGACATGACTTACAACTGGACTCGAGTCACAAATTTGATTACTTGTGACTTGACAGCATAAATGATGGAAAGACTTTGACTTGACTTAGACTTGAGGACAAATGATTTGATACTTGATGTGAACTGCAATGTTTTTACTTGAGACTTGACTTGGACTCGCCAAGGAAAGACTTGTCCATATCGATGGTGGTGCAGGAGGTAGTGCTACCGTTCGGCAACCGGAGGGTTGCAGGTTTGAGCCCTGGGTCCTCCTGACTCCATCGAAGTGTCCTTGAGCAAGACACTGAACCCCAAATTGCTCCCGGTGTGCTGGTTGGCGCCTTGCATGGCAGCCTTCGCCACTGGTGTGTGAATGTGAGTGTGGATGGGTGAATGTGAGGCATAACTGTAAAGCGCTTTGGTACTTGTAAGAGTAGTAAAAAGCGCTATATAAATGTAGTCCATTTACCATATCCCTCCTGTGTGGTGGAGGATACCCACACAGGGTCAACCATCACCCTCACTTGCCTGGGCATCCTCCTTGGCACTAGCCCTGCTGAGGTGGCAGGCAATCCAGATCTGACTCATATCCATCACTGGCATTGGAACAATGAGGGGGACATGATTGCTCCGCATTACGCTAGTGGGACGGACCACAGAGCAGGAAGTCCATGGGCCTGGTCCTGGTCAAAAAAAAGACAATGGTAATGACTTGGTCTCGGTTTAGGTGGTCTTGACTACATCATTACTGCTGCCCTGGATCAATGATGCACTGGATTGCATCACCAGATTGATTTGATTCTGCTCCCTAGACCTCTGAAGTGGCTATTTGCAGGTTAAACTGGCCCTGGATGACCAACCTAAGACCACATTCTCCATTGGTCAGGGTCTATATCACCTTCCAATAGATACTATTTGGGCTCTGCAATGCCCCCCACTATCTTTGAAAAGTTGAATGAGTGAGTGCCGGCCCACATCACCTGCAGTCTCTGCATCTGGTGGACACCTGAAAGGTTGTGGCAGTGAGAAACTAGCCTAACTCACTGAAGTGCCACAGAGCTATGCACCTTTCTGGGGCTTGTCTCTTATTACCAGCAATTTAAGGAGAATTTCACCAGAACTGATAAGCCTCTCCACCATCTCACCAAGAAGAGACATCCCTTTGAATGGACCTGAGGACTATGCCACCACCTTTGACAGCCTCCAGACTATGCTCACCGACGCCCCGATACTCACGTACCCTAACCCGAAGCTCCCTTTCATCCTGGACATGGACACCAGCAACAAAGGTCTTGGTGCAGTGATGTCACAGGTGAGGCCTCAGGCTGAGAGGGTGGTGGCTTACTTTAGCCGGACGCTAGTTGCCCCGAGCAACTATTACATGACCTGTCATAAACTCGAAGCTGTCATCCAAGCCTGTCACCAATTCTACCCTTACCTCTGTGCACAGTGCCTCCACCAGTGAACATCCATACATCCTTCACCTGGTTGTTAAGCTTCTGCAACCCTGAGGGACAATTGGTTTGCTGGCTGGAGTGAACTCTGAGGTCAAATCCTGGACCCTGATGCCCTATCTTGTCAGCCCTGAGAGACACATGACTGCCGTCACTGCTGCCGCGCTGAGCTGGAGGGCACCAGTGGTGAGGGACTAGAGGCCATTGACTGCCAGCAGCTGTGGGTGGAGCAGGCAGGTGATCCAGTGCTGCCCAAGTCAAGGGCTGTGTGCAGGCGGGGAGGTGGCTGGAAAGGAGGGAGGTCTCCGCTTCTGACCAGGAGACCAAGGGCCTTTATTCTCAGTGGGAGGCCTTTGAGGAGCGCAACGGGTTGTTGTGCTAGCATTGTTAGTCTCCAGACAGTGATCTGGACCCTGGTGCAGTTGTTGATGTCCCAGAGTCTTCAGTCCTTGGTCCTGCAGGTAGTACATGACGTGACGCGAGTCAGGCACATTGTAGTGCTGAAGGTGCTGGGCCGGCTGCAACCAGGACATCATGCTATTCATCCACAGCTGTGACATTTGCACTGGCCAGAAGAGACTGAGCCACCAGTCCTGAGGGACACTGCAGACATATCTAGTGGGGGTGCCGACGGAGAGGGTTGGGGTGGACATGTCGGGCATTTTTCCCCGTAGTTCCTCCCTGAATAACTACCTCCTTGTAGCTATGGATTATTTTACCAAGTGATCCGAGGCACATGCGGTTCTAGACAGTGACCTCAGCCAAGAAGCTCATAGAAGTGACAAGGAGCAAAACTTCAAGGTTTGGGTGTTTGGTGAAGTCAACAAGCATCAGGGCAAAGCGAAGACCCGCACAACCCCCTTTTCACCATCAAAATGATGGGTTGCAGGAGAGGTTTAATCACACGCTCGACACACAGCTCACCATCCTGGTCGCCCACCACCAGCATGACTCAGACCACCACCGGCCCCTGGTCCTGTGGGGAAATCAAGGGGAGGTACAGTAGAGTACTTGGCGCATGCCAGCTACATTGAAGTTCAGGTGGGAGCTGCACTCACCAGTGGATTTGGTGTTCGGCCCACCTACAGAGCTGGAAATACCAAGGGAGCCAGGTATGTAGTTCCTGTGTTGCATCCCTGAGCATCTGAGAGAGGTGCTCAAGCTGCTTATGGTGCACACAGCTGTGGGCAGGACATTAACATGAGGGACACCCAAGCTGGACAGCAATTGGAGGGATTGGTGAGATCCATGAGCATCTCTCCAATGTGATTTGCCGCTGATGGCTACCTGAGCAACTGAGGCTGAGGTCCTGCACGGGGATCGCCTGGCACCATATCGCCCCCTGGCAGCCGGAATCGTCACAATGATCTTCAGAACATGCCGAGTGTAGCTGTCTTTTATGTAATCCTTACTGACATCCTGCAACAAGTTCATATCAAAAGCAATACCGATAGCTAAACTACTATTTAAAAAGTTAAATGATGAACGTCTACTAATGCCCTTCAGATGTCACCTGAGCAAAACCCTTAACCCCCTGCTGCACAATGTTATAAAAGAAGTATCAATTTGTATCTTTGAGGGTACAATTAGTCACTGGGGCTCAACTCTAAAGGGTCTGGATATTGTACCCTAGCTTTGGACCTTTTAGACTAATTTAAGGTACAAAAATGAACTCGGATGAACATTTTTGTACCATTTTGGGTACAATAATGTTGTTTGTACCTTTGGGAACAAAACTGTACCTAGACTGTACTCTTTTTTCTGACAGTGTACAGGTGCAGTGTAGGTGGCTGCCCTTCACACTGGTCCCCAAGTGTGGGCTGGTCTGTGTGTGCCTCTTGGAGTGAAGGATGAGGTAGGTGAAACGAGAATTTCCTCACAGGGATCAATAAAGCATCATTCTTCTTCCTCATCAGAAAAGATTTTAAACATAACGGTTTTACATACAATTTGTGGTTTATAAAATATACAAGCAGCCAATCCAATTTTAATCATAATTAGTTATAAACCAAAAACACATTACTCTATTAAAACACCTACTTTGAATCAAAATATGGATATTGGGTATGGATATGATTTTAACAATAATGGATCACCGTGAAAAAACGCCGGACACCAGGCACATAAAACACTGATGTAATTGTGGAGGATAGCGACCTCGTGCGGAAATTTGAAAATACTGCAGATTCGGCGCAACAATTTCATTTTTATTTTTCACAGTAAACAAGTTCATTAAGTTATGCAGTTATGACTGCTGCAATATGGTGTCCATCACGTAAGGATAGCAATTGTATACCCTGTTCTGGACGTATATAGCTTCCACAATTTATAGTGACCCATTCGCTTGCAAAGCATGTCTTTCCATTATAGTGGGAGGACTGTAGGAGAAAGTGCCACGCGAACAAGCGGCTGGTTTCCTACATTGGAAATCTGAGGAAATATCCTACCCAACCCTAGCTAAGTCATGGTGTTGCCAAACATATAGGCCTGTTTAATTAGACAAATGCCTTAGTTACGAAATGTCAGTCCAAACAAACAATAGCCTACATAAATTCAGTATGAGCAATACAATTTAAGTCAGTACTTTTGGGATTTTATGGCAATATAATTCTTTATACATTAAATTTGCTATGATGGTTACAGAGCACGTTAAAAGCTTTTTCCTGATTGTATTTAAATGTAAATTAAAAGTGTTTAAAGAGCAAATCATGTAGTAAAAAAATCACTGGGCTTTACGTTATTCCACAGTGGGCAAGGTAATTAATTTACTGCGGCGTCATTGTGCTCGGATTAGTTAGCTTTATGGCGTCATCTTTACGTGGGTACTCCATTTCACACACGTCACCTGGTAACCAGTAGTTCTTTAGACGAAGTGTATTAGTTGCGTTGCAATCTTTTAGGCGTTTTAACAATCCTATAGCTTTCTAACATTTTCCATTGTGAATCACGAGTCACTGCTGTAAATCCGGGGCGAGGCGTCGTTCCTCACCATTTTAGACAGCTAGTAAACTTGGAAGAATGAATTTTTCGAGTGCCACTGATTTTTTTTATACTTGGCCAGCCTAACGTGGTGCATTAATTCGATGTGCTCCTAAATTGTAAAGTAAAATAGGGATCGCCAAGGCAGAGATTTCTGCATTACATATTGTTATAAAAGTCCAGTTTAGTACTGTAATAATGTAGGCGAACTTAATTATGAGTGATTGGAAACGTATTCGACGCGATTGATCCACTTTTCTGCGCTGGGTAACGGTGGAGTGTCATCGGTTATTATAAGGTGTTTAATGGTGCCATGCCTTTCTCCTGTCTTTTGTACATGCTATCACTTATTTACCTCCTACCTAAAGAGCAAATCTGTTTAAACGAGCATTTAGCAGTATCGATGACAAGTTTGAAAACTAACAAATGAGGCCAAGTTTCTTCGTTGGCTTCGCTTAGACTGTCCAGCCCGTCTCCGGCTTTAAACTCGCATCCCGTTGTGCTACTCTGTATAAAGGGGAGCGAACTTTAGACTATGGTCAGTTCAAAGGGCGAGATTTGATTTGTTAAGGCTAAACGTTTCCTAAATAGTTCTATATCTCGAACACAATCTAGTCATATTGCTGCGTAACTTCAGCGGCGTCATAAGCGTAGGGTAATCGCTGCTGCGCTCTTTCCTCGGCTTAGCGTCTTATTCTCCTGCTCACGATACGCAATATATTTGGTGTAGCCCAGTCGGCCGCGCGATAAGTGACGCCAATTGCGTAGCACTGTTAGTAATGGCGTCTGTGTCGAAGATGCGCTTGGCTCGGGGAAAATGAAGCGGAGGAGAAGTTATTCCTTTTAAGCGAACGCCGCGGTTTCATTCAGCGGGCTTTCCTCGTCGAGAGAAGCGGCGTTTCTGAAGACTGTTCCGGCTTCGACGTCCCGTCTCCCGGAGGCCTCGAAATGATGAAGCTTAAGTCGAACCAAACCCGGACCTACGATGGGGATGGTTATAAGAAGCGGGCCGCCTGTCTGTGCTTCAGGAGTGAGAGTGAGGAGGAGGTAAAGGCCGAGGACGCGGGTCCGGGGGACGGGAGAGGGCCACGGGGAATAAAGGCAGCAGCGTGGGACTGTCGGGAGCCTCGTACCGGGAAACGAGCGTCTGGGATGTTGGGGGGCGGGGGTCCAAAGAAGTGATCACCATGTTACTTTATGAAGATGATGGTGATGGTGGTGAGATATGGGGGGGGGAATCAAAATCTCAGATTGTCATCTAGCGCCAAGATAACACAGCAGCCAGGCGAGCGTGAATATGTCGTATCGTGTTACGGTGGCCACGTTTTACCGGGCCGGTGGCGTCACCCCGCCGCGATCCCGCTCTCTGCGCCCATTTCACCAGCCCGGGAGGTGCGGTAATTACCGAGAAGTATCCCCTCATTTCCCCCATTTACTCCCGCCAGGCTGGTATTCATGATCACCGGGAAACAATACGTGCGGGGACACGCCGTACTGCATTATAGTTAATTATATCCCCTAGTTAATAATTGTATAATTATAGTGCAAGTGAGGATGGTACCAAAGGTGGATTCCGTAGGCTTGGTGAAAATGTACAACGGGGAGAGTCTTTGCCAATATTTTTGTCATTGTTTTCCATTAACCGGTTTTCATTTAGTGTTTTTAATTCTGGCGTTAATTTATTTGGTGTTAATTTTGAAATCCATGGCATACTAGTTTGTAAAAATCGATCTAAGGAAACACGTTTTCAGCGGGTCTCGGACATACCAAGATCACTCCCCACCTGCATTAAATTGTATCGTATTCACAGTTCATGTCTTGATATCTTTACATCTGAGGGTGAAGCAAACAGCGCATAGGTGATGTGATCACTGTCCTGCCTTATTAATAATGTCGCTTTGTAACCGACGGTAAAGGCAACAGATGCCTTTGACAGTGGGCCGTACAAGGATTTAATGGTTGTATTTGTGTTTATTTGTAACTTTGTCAGGGTTTTTGTTTAGTGTTTTAAAAATACTCCGTCATTTCACTTACAATATTGTGGAGTAAATTATTTTCAAATTAATTTTATTATGGAACAGTGTACCATGTTTCATTTAATGTTTTTAAATAATATATGTGTGTTGAGTGAGTGTGTGTGTGTGTGTGTGTGTATGTGTGTGTGAATTTCCATGCTGGTGATTGTGAATCCGGACACATTGAGCTGAACCTTGTGTTTGTTTGTCTGCTGTGGGGTGTGGTGGTAGCTGCTGCCGTCCGTGCGACCGCCCCCCCCCCAGCCCA